AATCTGACCCTACAGGAACTCAGTCTTATCAAAGAAGATTTAAGAAGTTCAAGAGTGGATCAGGGGCTATTACTTCCTACTTATTTCTGAACATTAAAAACCCCAGGCTGAGGACCCAAGATGTGAACACCCTAAACAAGCCCTGGAAGAGTCCCAACCCTTGGGTTTAAACACAAGAACTCCTGTGTATGGCCCCATTAGTGACGATAGCACACTCCTTGCAAAACCACGCTGCTGGAGGAGCTTAAGATGGAGGTCCTGTCTCTTCTGAGGTTTAGTCTTATAACTTTAGTCAGCCTTCTGGAAATGAGCTGAGTCTTATGCAGATTTCTGAATCTGCAACTATTTGCCCTGAGGCTCTTGGAGGTCTGCTGGCCACCAGCACTCTTAGCCAGCACTTTTAGCTCCTGTGGTAGCCCAGCAAGGCCTGAGATGTAAAGTCTGGAGCTGAGCACTGGGTTTGAGCAGGTGATCCTCATCTCTCCAGAACTGTAAGGAGGTACAGAGCACAACAAAACTCAGTTGCTATTGTGTCACCCTTTCTCTAAACCTCACATTCTAAAAGCTGATCTTGGCAGCCTTTTTATCCACATGGGGTTTCCTCTTCAAGAATGGACATACATCTGAAAACTGAATGCAATCCTGCAAAGTCTTCCCAGCTCAGGCTCAAGGTTGATCCAGTGGTTTTAAGTTTGAATCAGTGTTCCAGAAACAAAAAAGTGACCTGGATGTCCCAGGACCAGAAATCACATAAAAGTCTTGGTCTTGTTCTAGGTTGAAAGCTCTGAAACTAATTCTTGAGCTCTGAATATATAGAAGCCTTTGACAAATAGAGATTAACTGGGTAGCAAGTCCGTATCAGATCTCTTCTCTGGAAGGGCAGGTTGGCTAACAAAGTCTGACCCCTCAGACACAATGGAAGCTTGAGACCATCAAGTGAGACAGAATGGCAGATTTGGCTGGCTTGGTAGTATAGCCCTTAGGGATGGGGCTGACCAGCATGTTGGAAAATTCCAGGTTTTGGACTCAGCTGAGGATATTTCTTCAAGGTTCAACTAGGTGCAGTGAGACTAACAAGGATGCAATGCACAAGCAGAAAAGAGTGGCCAATGTGCACACTTAGCTTCAAAGATGGTATCTGCCGAGTAGGAATATGTCCACTGGGAAGTGACATTAGGCCAGCCTTGGAGGGGGTATATTGAAATAAGAAAAAGACAATATATTTGGAGATAAGTTATGGTAGGAGCACTATATCTTGAGAGTTAACTAATGTAGTGGCACCCCCTTTCTCTACAGAAAAGTCTTAACTGGGCTTCTCCAGAAATCTTCACCATGGCTGATCTTGGGACTTTCAGCAAAAGAATCTCTGCAAAAGAGTTCAATATAGGTACACTTCCTACTTTTGTGTTGCCCTGTTTTACTTGGCCACTGGCTGGGAAGATACCAGCACTCCAGTTGCTGGACACCCCCTTACTAGTTTTTCACAAATATATCCAGTATAGTAGCTTGTAGAAATGTGCAATCAAATCCTCTGGCCTTGAGCTGCGCTCCACAGAGATGTCTACAGTTTCAAGATAAGTTATCAACTGCACTCCATGGTAATAGCTGGCAGGGGGAGGAAAGAAAGGGGACAAGAAGCTCTCTCCTTCTCAGGTGTTGTCCTTGAAGGGTTAACTTGCCCAAAATAGTGAAAGAAAAAGCTGCTTTTACGTGAATTTCTGCAGACTGTGAACTTCTGAGCCCCTCCCCTTACATGCTGGGCATAAACTCTGAAACTACCTGAATTCGGGGTTTAGGGGATTGATTGATTACAGCAAAAGCTTTGCCCTCTGAACCTGTCTACAGCCAAATAAAACTGTTTCCTGCTATCTTCGGTGCCTTGCCTCGTCCGTCACTACAACACTAAATGCATCATGGGGAAATATCTCAACAGAGTTACTGAGGTGTATCTTTAGAGAAAGCACAGACTTCATTTTGGTTAAAGATATTTTGGCAAAGTCTCATCTACAGGAAGAAGTTGGATTAGAACAATGATTTTCAAACTTCTGCGGAACCCTAGGGTTCTTCACAATGTTCTAGGGATCTTCCAAGAACCTCAAATGCTTTTAACTCTTTAAAAACTGTTGAAAAGCCACACCATACTCAATGCTTCATATGCCAACTTTTAACCCATTGAACGAATTAATTTGTGCAGCCAGGTGAACTTGCTTTTGTGGGGCCCTCAGGACCAAGTTTCTTCTGCTTCCTGTGTGCAAGTATCTGCATTCATTGTAAATGTGTTGGTAAAAAAGAAACTATGTAATTCATTTAAATCCTGGCCTGCAAGTATAGTGATGCCAGCCTCTCAGAGCATGCATTTATAAGCATGGCACTAAGGGTGATGACACATTATGTCATGATATCATAGTGAATCTGGGTTTCTTGCTTACTCTAGGAGCATCTTTGATTGGTTCTTTATTAGGAATATGAGTTTTGTTAGATTTGCTAGTGATTCAACTTGGAAAAATGCTACTGTTCTGTTTTAAAAATTCTAGTAACTACATCTTTAAATTGAAAATACCCTGAGAGTTCCAGGTAAGTCATTAAAAACACACTGTTGCTATTTACAGCAACTACTGGTGTATATAAGGTTGTTCTCATCTTTGTTCCCACAAATGAACTGGATGCTGGTGCAGCTCTTCACCATATCCTGTGTTGTCACGTTTTTGTGTATATGTTTTAACTTTTTAGGGCAATTATTTTTTATTTTAACTTGAATTTATAATGTTGTAAAAGGGCTCTTCTGCTAAAAGCAAGTTTGAAAAGCACTAACTTATATGACATTCAGTTGTACACGGTCATGAAAATGTAATTTATCTAAACAATTGAAAAGAATAATTTTGGTAAAATCCTCTGCCAATTTGGTGTGTGTGTGTGTGTGTGAGTGTGTGTGTGTATGTGTACTGGGATGGAATGCAGGGTCCTGCATTATCTAGGTAAACTCTACCATTGGGTCACACCCCAGTCCTCCTCTGTCAATTTTTAATGGTGTTATTTTCTGGCCCTTATTCAGCAGCTGGAATAACATGATTGTTACAGAAATGCTGAAGTATTGCTGTAGACTCCAATTGCATGCAGCTGACAAGGATTTGAGTTCTTTACAGAAACCATCAACCCAGATGGCAACCCTCTTCCCTGAAACTCAGAATCTTGTAAGGAGGGGTATAGTCCCCCTTTTCCTGGGGAACTCTTACCCTGAATGTATGTGCATACACCTGTGGAGTTATTCTCGCTATGTATTGTGAGATCTACTTATTACTTTCCATTTTGGCAGAAGTGATCGATGAAATAAAAAGCAATGATGAGTTCAGGGTCCCTCTTGGTATCTTCTGCAAGAGGTAAGCAAGGAGGGTAGGGCCCTGTGGGTCTACTTTAGTTGGCACAGGACACCTCTGGAGGGCTAACTCCCTCTGGGGACAGTTTGAATAGGAAGCCAAAAGAGTGTGCAGGGCAAGGAAAGGAGTCCCGCAGACTGGTGGGGGACATCATGGTTTATTGGGAAGGCTGAGGACCCTTCTAAGTGAACCTGGACCTCCACTTCTTGGCATTGGAGCCAGTGCTTGCCAGGTGGTAGCATCCCAGTCTTCTAGTTTTCTGGATACTAAGTGGTTCAAGTTTTTGCATTTCCTTTGGTGACCCAGACTTCAAGGGTTAAGTCCAGCATTAGGTGAGGCACAAAAACCAAGAACATCCACATCCTCATCTTTCTCTACCAGCCCTTTTCACCTGAAGGTCATCACTGACCTACTGATAAACTTCAATTTCTGGGCCTTAAAGGGCCTGACAAGGGGGACCTGCTTCTATGCTTCATCCCCACTCCCCAACACATGAACTTCAATCCTATAGAATCCATCTTGATACCAGGCATATACCATAAGGCCAGCTCATTGGTCACATGGCTGCCCCTTACCAGTTCTTCTTCAGTTCCACACACAGTTTACCTGCCACGAGATGTACCACCCTGTTCCCCTCTGCCACTCTAGAATAAGGAGGTGGTAAGAAGCCACTGCCTTTCTTTATCTCAGCCTCACAATCTGCATGCTGAGCCTGGAGGCCTTCGTTTTCTTTTGTAAAGAGATGGAGGTTCCTCATCTAGGGACTGGATGAGACTCTAGATGCCTGAGAAAGCAGAGATCAGTCACTCCATGCCTGAGGCTGGGGCTGACCCAGTGGATGCAAGGTCTTGAACTAGCAGAGTTTCCTAGGCTTTGGTCCAGAGATGACTTTGGTACTCCCTTGCCTTCTCTGTGCCTAAATGCATAGAATAGACTCCTGGGAGCAGTAGACAGGACTGCATTACATTCTTCAGCATTTCCTTTTAGAGTGGCAGTCATAAACCACAGGCTCTCACAGCTGCTCCTGGTGTCTACCCTGTGCCAGCACATCATGTCCCCACCCCCTGTCTCTCCTTTAGTGAACATCAAGCCTGGGCTGAGCCTGGGAAACACAAGAGTATCAAGAGTACCTGTAAGCTCCACCCACAGGAGATGATAAGGGCTCTAAAGCTTGGGCAGGAGGGGCCCAGAACACTAAGGACAGGAGGAGCATGTAGGGGAACAGCTGGGGTTCTGCTCAGTACAGTTCTGTGATGGTTCCTTGTGATACAATCTCCCTCATTCACAGGCATTTTTTTCCCCCCAGGGAAAATGATGGAGTGCGAAAGGAGGAGGAGAAGGAAGAGGAACAAACCCAGAGTTTGCAATCAACAGATGATGGGGGCCTAAGATTTTGTTCTGTTGGGAAATGGCAAGCTGTAAGATGGGCTATAGAGCAGGACTGGGCCTCAGGGCTGCCCCAATGCATTTTTCTTTTGCTTAATGGAAAGCCCCAGATGTGATGCAGGGACCCAGAAAACCCCACTGAAGGAGGAATGAATTTCACGTGATGCAAAACTGGCTTCCCCAGTGGGGAATATGGGGTCTCCTTCAGAATAAACTTCCTCACAAGGACCCAGACTGTACCTGCTTCACCTCGGAGTGCTTTCTCCACTGCAACCCCTCTCTCTTCCAGCTGCCTCTGCTTTTCTTCCACCTGCTCCAGCTGCCGTTGGATGATCTGTCAAAAGACAGCAGTATGAGCACTCAGCTTTCTAGTTTTCAGGAGGAAAACTAAACTTGGCAAACTCAAGGAGGGAGAAAGAGAAGTTACGTCGAGACGGTGGAAAGAGCTCTAGTTCATGGGCTGCATCCCACTTGGATCTGAATCCCCCAGGGCCTTGTTACTTAGCAGACTCTGGGCCCACTGTTCTAAGTTCATAGAATATGGAAGCAGCTGAAGCAGATGTCAGCCCTCTCTAGGGCAGTTAAAGGGCAGGAGGAAAAGAAATTCCTGCAGGAAGCCTTTAATACTATTACCTCACAATTTCTTTCTTTTTTGGGCAGGATACTAGGGACTGAACTCAAGAGCACTTGACCACTGAGCCACACTGCAGCTCTATTTTGTATTTTATTTAGAGACAGGTTCTCACTGAGTTGCTTAGCGCCTTGCTTTTGCTGAGGCTGGATTTGAACACATGATCCTCCTATCTCAGCCTCCTGAGCTGCTAGGATTACAAATATGGGCCACCGCATCCGGCACCTCAGAATTTCTTTCTTTTTTGACACTGGTGATTGAACCCAGGGATGTTTTACCATTGACTTATACTCCAGTCCTTTTAATTTTTTTAAGTTGGTGAGGTTGGCCTTGAACTCATAATCCTCCTGCCTCAGTCTCCCAAGTTCTTGGGACTACAGGTGATGCTACTTGCCGGGCTACCTCAGATCTTTCTGATAACAAGACTGCTAAACTGGATTAAAAATCTTGTCTCTACAGGTTAAAAAAAAAAGTATAGAATGGTCTAGGATATGAGGCCTTAAGACAGAGGCTGATACCTACAGGATAACTCTAACTTCTCCCATGAAGTCCAAAGTCCATGGTAGGTCACAAACTGATTTTTTCCCCCCCTTTGTACTACGTATTGGATTCAGGGGTGCTTTACCACTGAGCTATATCCCTAGCCCTTTTAATTTTTTATTTTGAGACAGGGTCTCTCTAAGTTGCCCAGGCTGGCCTTGAACTTGCGATCCTCTTGCTTCAACCTCCTGAGTTGCTGGAATTACAGGTGTATGACACTCTACCCACCCACAAACTGACTTCTGACACTATTGCTTACAAGTAAGAGAACTAATTGACTCTAAAATGACTATTCTAGACCACAGAATTTAGGAAACTCAAATGTGGTTCTTCCCTTTTTACTGATGACTTTGCAAAGATGGGGCCACTACATCTGCACTGAGCTGTACTTTGGGGCTGTCATCTCAGATGACAGGGACAACTCATCTGCTTCTACTCTGCCTTCTTCACCCTCCTTCCTTGTGGATAGGGGTCAACTGGGTGTACACAAAGATGTGGTCACATGGCTTTCCACCTGTGTGTTTTGTCTGTCTCACTGTCTGTGGTTGTACCTGGGCTCGGTGGAGCCGCTTGAGCTCCTCTTGCTTGGCCTGTCTCCGAGCTGCCTTCTGCACACGCCGGGTCAGCTTGGCATTCAACTCTTCTTCTGTGTAGGTTCTTGGCTAGTGGGAATAAAAAAGATCTTATCAGTCAGGTCTGAGATCAGTTTGTGCAGCAGCCTGGCAGGGGCATGGAGTAGACTGACTCCTAAGTGGGAACTGGTGGCTGGCATACACCAGTGTGAAGCTCCCCCACTGCAGCTTGACCAGAGACTTCCCTGGCACCTTTCCCTGTTGGAGCTCCAAATGCCGCAGGACACATCTAGATACCCCCAAGGTGAGACATTTCCCCTCTGTGACCAGGAAAGGAGGCTATGTGGGGAATGAGTGTTGGGAAGTTAGAGTATTAGGAGCCTCCTTTATCACTGAGATCACTTTATTTGTTTCCTATTTAAGGAATTCTGTGCTTTTTAAAGACATTGTGGGGGTAAAAAATGTAAGTAAAATGTTTCCCAAGCCTCATGCTTCTGAATATATGGGGAAGGAAAAAAAAAAAAAGGATAAATCAGAATCCTTTTATTTTCTTGCTTGGAATCAAAAGCCACTTTCTTCAGATGAGTGGTATTCATGAGGTTCCTTTAAGAACATCTGAACTAGAAAAAACAGGAATGCTTCTATTTTAAATTTGGGGAAACCCCAAACCAATATAGGCTGAAGAAGGAACTATGGAGGTGACCCTTGATGGCCTCTGGGGATTGCATAGGCAACAGTTGCCACAAAAAGAAAGGGAGGAAGTGGCCTGGCCAGGTGGTTGTGGCTAGTGCCATCAAGAATGGAGGAGGTGACTGGGCAAATTTAATGCAGGTTGAAGGCTATGGGGAGAATCCCATGCTTTGCATAGACACTGGGCAACCCCTGAGAGGTACATGTTGGGGATTTGCCTTCATTCACAAGGCCATCTGTATTGTTTCTTAAAAAAACAAAATAAAACAAACAAAAAAACCAAAAACCAAAACAAAACAAAAAAGAAACCAAACTAGGAGATTTTACAGATTTTAAAGAAGGCTTCCAAATTCAACTCAAAGTCCAGGCTCTTTGTCTTTCCTCTAAGAGTTTTAAAGACAGTGGAGTGTCAAGTGAAGAGGCAACAGGCAGTCCTTAAGGACAGCTGTGGCATTCTAGTGCCCTGGGAAGCTCAGGTCTCAGTCCACAGAGCTGAGACAACAACCCCTCTTATTGTGGTGCCCAGACCCACAGGGGCAGCTCTGCCTCCCTCCCAGGCACCTGGAGCATTACCACATGCACTCCAGCCAGTGAAGAGCGGGTGTATCTCATCCTCCTTCTTCCTCATGACATAGCTAAAGGAGGTCTGGTGGCTACAGCTACATGCATGTATGAACACAGTTAGTGAGGATGTGGCCACAGGTCCTGGGCTCAGGTTGCTCTGGGTGGTTAATCACAGACAGGCATGCAATGATGACCAGCCATCAGGAATGAGATACTACCTTTGATGAATAGGATCTCCTGAATGCCAAGGCGTGTGGTACATAAATCGACTTTTAAGGGGATGGCAACGGAAAACAAAACAGAACAGTAATGACAATGATGATTTAAAAAATTAAAATGAAACACAGAAATGGAGTAAAATTAGAAGTTTAAAACAAACATACAGGACTTAAACATGATTATTTTCCACAATGTCACACAGGACTGTGCAAGGAGAAATCTGCATGTACAAACTGCATGTACAGCTGCATCTTAGTGAACACTGGTTTTGAGTAAGACTGGGGTTTACTTTTCTCCTGAGTAGAAACAGCCTCTTTATCATTCCCCCAAATCTTCTCTTTTCTCAGTATCCCTTTCTCCTTTAGTAACCCATTCCTTTACTTGTGGAAATTTAGAACACTTCCTGCTGCTCATGTATGGGGGTGGATAGAGGAGATTCCTGATGTCAGACACAGATAAGAGCGAAACGAGGTACTGAACCTCATACCCTCTCCCAAAAAGCTCTCTCCTGGCATGTTCCTAAACCACGGGACACAGGGATACAGGCTACTTCTTGATTATACCTGGTGAAGGGAACTGAAATAGCATAAATCACTGCTATTTGCCAAAAGTATTTCAGATAGCAATGTTAACTGACTTCTTTTTACTCCATTAAACATTGAGTGGAGCTGCTCAAGTACTGGGGTCAGTTACATTTGCTCCTCTGGTCTTCTTATCAGTTGTATTAAGTAGTTAGAAGGCCATCAGGGAGCCAGGGAGGGAGGTAGCTTGAGTCTGGTAGCCTATAGGATAAGGAGATTCTGAGAGCAACAAGAAGGCCTGCAGTACCCTGCTGCCTGTGCTGCTTCTGACTTTCATAACCATGACATAGTGGGGACTCACATTTCACATGCATATTATCCTGGAAAAGAATGAATCTGCCTCTCAGAATAGGCACCTTGCCTCAAACTCACTTCTTTCACAAAGCAGACTGAAAGGAAGATTTTCATGATTAGAAACAGGCTAGTTTTAAAAAGGGAAAGGACAAATGATGTCCTTGAATAGCATGGGAAGAACTCATAGTAGGATTATAGGTTAGGTAACTACACCTTAAAGAACAGCATGGACATCTGTACCTGGCTGCTGTAAATACTACGGGGAGAGGGCAGCACCCTCCTTCTCCATAATTTACCCATTTTTGGGACTGGAACCAATTCAGAATGAAATCATGACACAATTTTCATGTGCCCAAGAGATGAGGCCAGCCACAAGAGCTGACATTGTGGCTCTGAAACAGAAAGAGAGACCATCAGAGAGCAGGCCCAGCACCCTCGGATGGGCCAGGGTGGCCAAGAAACAGCCAAGTTAGTTGTATTTAAAGTCAGATGGAAGTAAAGAAAAGAGGTCAACATGAGTTATTTCTTGTTGGCAGGGCTGTAGGTGTTTTAAAAAATCCTGTACTTGCATTTTTCAAACAAAAAAGTTATTATTATTATTATTTAAAGATTTCTTTTTTAGTTGTAGAGGAATACAATACCTTTATTTTTTTATGCGGTGCTGAGGATAGAACCTAGTGCCTCACACATACTAGGCAAGCTCCCTACCACTGAGCCACAAACCAGCCCCAAAATACAAGTTATTTTTAGTTTTTTTTCCTTTATTATTATCAAAAGACCCTGTCACTTGCTTCACCAGTGCTTGACTCAGGGCTGTGTCTGAGATACAAGGGGAGCTATCTCTTCCATCTCTGCTACACAGTGGCTCTGTGGCTGGGAGCCTGGCCTCTTCATTCAAGCCAAATCCCATTTTTACTTTTAGCTCCCTTGCTCCTTATACTTCTTATTTATTTATAGTTTTCGGTGGACACACATCTTTATTTTATTTTTACTTGGTGCTGAGGATCAAACCCAGCGGCCTGTGCATGCCAGGTGAGCGCACTACCGCTTGAGCCCCATCCTCAGCCCCTCCTTATACTTCCTATTCTGAAAAATTTCAATCCTACAGAGACGTTGAAATAGAAAGAAAATGAATAGCTGAATACTGTCACTTAGATTTCCCCAATGTTAACATTTTACAGCATGTTTCATAGGCATGTGTGCATGTATGTAACCTTTATATTACATGCATACACACCTTTTTTGTTGTTGTTGGTACTTGGGGTTGAATCAGGGGTGCTTTACCATTGAGCCATTCAGCTGCATCCTCAGCTCTTTTCTGTTTTTTTTTTTGGTACCAGGGATTGAACTCAGGGGCACTCGACCACTGAGCCACATCCTCAGTCCTATTTTGTATTTTATTTAGAGGCAGGGTCTCACTGAGTTGCTTAGCACCTTGCTTTTGCTAAGGTTGGCTTTGAACTTGTGATCTTCCTGCCTCAGCCTCCTGAGCTGCTGGGATTATAGGTGTATGCCACAATATACAGCTATAATCTTTTCTTTTTCTGAATTATTTGTAGATACATAAACTTTCACCTTGAAAAATATTAGCATGTACTTCCTCCCTAAGAACAGAAACATTTTCCTACATGATTACAGTACCTCTGTCACTTGCAAGAAACTTGATGTTGATTGGATGATACATTTATACATACTACACCATTTATGATCAAATTTCTTTAACTGTTTTTTAAAAATATTTATTTTTTAGCTTTAGATGGATACAATATCTTTATTTCATTTTTATGTGGTGCTGAGGATCGAACCCAGTGCCTCACATGTGCTAGGCAAGCATTCTACCGCTTGAGCCACAACTCCAGCCCTCTCTAACTGTTTTAAAAGCATTCTTTATAGCTGTTTCTGTTCTGCCTTAGCCACCATGTCTTGAAAACATGGTGATCTGCTTTCACTTGGTCCACCTCCACGTCATGGCAGGAGCTGGGTTAGCAGCCTCGTAGGCCCCACCTTATCTTCCACATTCCCTATGTGATCTCTAGTGAATGGCCCTGTCCCTATAGAGTATGCCTGGTATGTGAGGTCTCCATAGTCCTGTGGTTCTAGGAATCTATAATGGGGTCCTTGACTCGCTCACAAGAATAGGGAAATGAATTTCTTTGTTTCTGGTGCCTGTGAGGCCCTAGGAAAGTCTGTCGTCCATGGGAGGTGGAATCGAGATAATGTCCTTGGCATAGCCAAATGTGGGAAGACTGCTGATCAGCATACTGTCAACATGCTTCATTAATTTGTGGAAAAGCAGTGGAGAAACTTGACCATAACAGCAATCACAGCTGTATGTTTTTTTTTTAAACTTTATTTTATTTATTTATTTTTTATATGGTGCTAAGGATCAAACCCAAGACCTTGCATGTATGAGGTGATCGCTCTACTGCTGAGCCATAACCCCAGCCCCATAGTTGTTTTTGACCAACATGACATGAACTATCTGAACATCTGCACAGTCACCATGGAGGTTAAGAGAAACATTCTCCTTTCTTCACAGACCTCCTTAAAAATCCCAAGACAGAGCTGGGTTTTGGCTCAGTGGTAGAGTGCTTGCCTAGCATGTGTGAGGCACTGAGTTTGCTCCTCAGCACCACATAAAAATAAATACATAAAATAAAGGTATTGTGTCCATCTACAACTGAAAAAAAAAAAAAAGAATTCCAAGACATCCCCAATGTATTTAGAGACCTACATGCAAATCCAGAAGCAACCCTCAGTTCAGAACCAACAGTCCTACCCGGGAGATTCAGCAGGGGGTACTCAACAGGATGCACATAAACTGAACCCGCAAGGGAAAACATACAAGACTGCTAGGCCTTAACTCACTGCTGGCCTGGTAGTGACATATGAGACCTAACTCTGTAGATAGGTGAAGCAGGAGGAGACAACAGTCATTATAGGTTCTTCTAGGATAATACAGAAAGAGCTGATGCAGCCTTAGAGACAAACACATCAAGAATGAGATGGGAAGTAAGCTGACCATCTTTCTACAGTTTTCCAAGTTATTATTATTATTATTTTGGTACTGGAGATTGAACTTAGCCACTGAGTCACATCCCCAGCCCTACAGAGACAGGGTCTCATTAAATTGCTTAGCACTTCTCTTTTGCTGAGGCTGGCTTTGAACTCGTAATCCTCCTGTCTTAGCTTCCCAAGCTCCTAGAATTATAGGCATGTGCAACAACTTTGGGCTTGACAAGTTATTATTAATATTATTTATTATTTCTTGATACTTGGGATTGAGCCTAAGGTATTTTACCACTGAGCTACATCCCTAACCTTCTTAATTTTTTATTTTGAGACAGGGTCTTACCAAGTTGCTAAGGGCCTAAGTTGCTGAGCTGGCCTGAAACTTGCAATCCTCCTGCCTCAGACTCCCAAGTTGTTGAGATTATAGGTTGTGCCACTGTGTCTGGCTCAGTTTTCCAAGTAATTAAGAACTGAATCAGGCTGGGAGGAGGAACTTGGAAGCAGGCTTCAGAAGGTATCTTTGTGAACTGGTACACAGAGAGGCACAGAACCACCATGGTCTTCTCTGGTTGGTGTACTGGCTACCAGTTTAAAGTTTTTGATGAAAAGGGACTCAAGCCAAAGTTCCAAAAGGCCTTGTCAGAAAAGCACATGAGGGTTGGGATTGTAGGTCAGTGGTAGAGTGCTTGCCTTGCATGCATGAGGCACTGGGTTCGATCCTCAGCACCACATAAAAATAAATAAATAAAATATTGTGTCCATCGACAACTAAAAATATATACATAAAAAAGCACATGATATTCTGGGTATATTTTTATTCAAAAAGGGAGGTAAGGGGCAGCAGGGCTATTACCCCTGGAAAGGTAATGTCTAGCTCTGTCTTAGACAGAGGGCAAGATGTAGCTGGGCTCACACAGAGCATCACTGCCCCTGTCTTGCTGCTGAGGCCTTTATGGATCTTAGTTCCCATATAAATACTGTTGTTGTCACATAGATGCCCCACTAGAACTTTCTCTGGTTCTCCCTCCTCCAACTTCACTGTATTGAGACAAAGCTATAAGACTCCTGGAAAACAAAACAAACAACAACAACAACAACAACAACAAAAAAACTAAATGAACACCAAAGGAAGCCAGTGATGAAGGGACTTTGTATATAGAGAACTTTGCTTCTTAGGAGACCTGAGTGGCCATACTTCCTAAGTTCTGGAGCAGCAAGAGAGCCCATGTCAGACCTGACACATACCCAAGTCAGTTTCTTAGATCAGTTCTTAAACAGGAAAACAGACAAACAAACAAACAAAACCCTCCTCTAATTAACAAATCTACCAAGCAGGCAGGATGATGAGGCCCACTCCTGTGTAAGCAACCTGGTCCCACCTCCTGTTCCACTGCCTGGTGCTCTATCCCAGCCTCTATGACCCTGGAGTGTGAGCAACCCTTGTCCCCTTGCCTGGATCCTGACAGATACTGCTCTGCATGGATTGCTGAGGAGAGAAAGAATAGACAGTGCCTGGCTGTTTCCTAAAGGCAACATAAAGGTTTCCATGTGGAATATCTCCAGCTTCCTTCACAGGAACTGAATGAGGGAACTCTTGCCAGGAAAGCAAATACCTCTCTCCCCTTTAAAAGGCCTGAGGGAAGACTTTTGTGGCTCTTCTTCTGACCCTGGTCCGGGATCAGCATTCCACTGTCTGCCTGCTGGAATCATAGAAATGCACTCACTCTCCACCCTGGTTTTAGATTGGCTTTCCCTGTTTTCTACCTTACCAGAGGCCAAGACTCGCCAGCCCGCCAAAGTCCTTCCAGCGAATGGACCCACCCACCTCTCTCCTGGACTTCTGGGAGGACCTCTCAAGGATGTCATCACTGGAGAGGTCTGAGTCCTCCGAGAAACTCAGCTGGCGCCGGAGCTGCAGCTCTGTGAGGTAAAAAGAGGCAGAGTGAGGGCAGTGACAACACTGACTTCCATGCTCATTCGAGCAGCTGGGGCAGATCAGCTGGAGGTTTGGTTTCAAGTTTAAGTGATTTTCCTCTTACATTGGGGTGCAATGAGCTTGGGCTCTGATGCTTATTCCTTCAGGGACACAGCCACTTGGAAGAGACAATAACTCTGGACACCTGTCTGGGACCACCAGGCAATGCCCTCTGCCCCACTCAAAAGCAGGCCCATTTTGGGGGTAATGTGACTTTAGGAAGGGTACCAACTTCCAAAGACTACCCTATCTAATTTCAAGCTGATTTTAGAGTTATTTTATGAGGCAGGAAAATGCTCAGGGCATTCATGGTTCAGTTCCCGTCTCTTAAGAACCTTTGGGCCATCAGCATGTGAAAGTGGATCTTTTTTTTTTAAAATAAAACTTGCTTTCAAAAAAAAAAAAAGAAAGTGGATCTTTTGAGAACAACAAAATGACCCAAGAATGTACCCCTTACACTCTGTCCTATGAAGGTCTCTTTGCTGCTGATGTACCTGCTCTTACAATAGGAGACATCCTGTGCTTGCCAGAGTCCACAGTAGCTCCGCTGGATGGGGTGCTGGAGGAGGACTTCTCGTCGCCCTTTTTCTTCTTGTCCTTCTTGTACCCAGAAAAGACTGACTTCCACAAGGACTTGGGTTTGGTGGCTGCTTCCTCTGGAAGGCGTGAGCTGGGTTTCTCTGTGGGTCGGCCCTCCCCTTTGGACTTCTTCTCTTTCTTGTTTCTGTGGGGGGAGAAGAGGGATGACCTCTTCTTGCTCTTCCCACTGGAGCCCTCAGAAGAGGTGACAGAACCATCTGGGCCCCCTGAGTCTGATGGAGGGGAGAGGACCTCCTCACTAGTGGCTTCATGCTTCAGAGTAGGCTCCTCAGAGCCTCTGAGACCTGGGGGTTTGGAGGATTCCGTCAAAAGTTGTTTGCTCTGGGAGGGTGCTGAGGAAGCCTTGCGGGACCTGGAGGCCCCAGCTGCCATCTCCATCTCCTGCATCCTACTCAGCTGCTTGGCCATGGCGTCTCTCAGTGCCTGGCTCTTCACAGACTTCTCCCGGGCTCGCATGCGTTCCTCAGCCAGCTCCTTAGCTTCAGGAGAGACCAAGGGCAGTCCCCTCTTCTGCAGCTGGGCACTACCCTCCAGAGAAGGCAGCCGTCCATTCTCTTTGGCCAGGGGTGGGTGGAGGGCCTTCTCTGGGCGGGTCCAGCAGGAAGGGGGTGTGAAGAACTTTTCCTGCAGACTTGAGTTCTCAGTTTTGTCATCATAGGTGTCCTCCACATCATCAGCAAAGGGGATTTCATCCACACTCTCTACAAATGACTTCCGCACTTCCTCCTTGGGGGGTTGGGCAGGCTCTCGTGGGGGCCGCATAAATGTGGCAGGTGGAGGAGGTGGGATAATGGAGGATTTTGGCTCAGTTTCTTTATGCTCAAATATCTGATAGGGCTTTCTTTGGAGGGTGGCGGGCTCCTCATGTGGGGGGGGGGGTGGCGGTGGGCTTGAAGGTGGGGTGAGCATGGTGGAGTCTGAGGTGTTGAAGCTCTGGCTGCCCAAGGTCTTCATGTTTGAGGAGCTCCCATGAAGGCCCAGGCCAGAGCTGCTGGACAGATCCCTCCGCTCTTCATGGGAGCTTCTCAGCTCTCTGTCAGATGGAGATTTGGGAGTCAGCAGGGAGGGCTGCTCACCATCTGACTTTGGCAAGCCCAGCCTTTTAGGAATAGATGGAGGTTTCAGAAGATGAAGTCCTTCATCCTGAGGGGACTTCTCAACTGAAAAGGATTTTAGGGATATTGGCTTGAAGGCAGGTGAGGGGAAGCTGGGCTCAGGCCCTTTCTTTCGCTCTACAGGTGTGAGTCCCAGACTGCGGCGGATTTCAGCGCTTTTCATCCAAAACTCCTCCACCAGGTCACTCCGTTTCAGGGCTTCATCCACAGCAAGAGGGCTGTCCAGTCTGTTCTTGGGATCAGCTTGGCTCTTCACAGGTAAGGGGACCAGAGGGGTAGAAGCTTTGGCTGGAACAGGCTGGAAGCGTATGGGGGACTCAGTGGGGGATGGGATGGTGGCCTCTGAGGAAGGCTGAGGCTGGGAGCAAATAGGGAGCTGGGTGGAAGGGGATGCAGAAGGGGCCACCTGAGCCACAAACTGTGAGCTCACAGGTGAGGTAGGTGTCCTTGGTTCTGGCAGAGATACAGGCTGCGACCGGATGGGAGGGGGTGCAGTCTTCTGATCCGGGGGAGCTTCAGCTTTGGGCTTCTCTTTGGGGAGCAGAGGGTCAGGGAAAAAGCGCTCCTCAGGGGATTTCATCTTGGTGGCAACAGAGGCAAGTGGGGTTTGGGGTCCCTACAGAAAGGGAAGACAGAAGCTGCTTAGAAGTGAATGTTTTCATGGTCAACAACATTCTTTATGGAATTTTCCTCTCAAAGGGCCTGTGTATGTTGAAATAAATTTCTCTCTCTATCGTTTTATGTATGATTCAAATGGCTCCAGGAAAAACTTCCTCATTTTCTGCTCTATTTGTCAAATTTTTAGAACCCCTCTTAGTTTGAATAGTCTGAGCTTTCAGGATTTGGTTCATCTCAAACACATCCTACTTTCTCTGTCCACTGAAATGAACAATGGCAGAAAAACACTAATGAATTTGGCTCTCACCCCAACTAGCAGTTTCTAAAGCTCCAAGATCCCTGACATGCCATCACAGGGGCCAGCACTGTAAGATTTAAAATAGCTACTATGTGTAGATGTTTTATAATCACATTGCCTTTCCCAGGAAGCTTAAAGATGCACACAGAGTCTATTATAGCCCTATCTTAGCATCTCAGTAAAATAAAGCTCTTGTTTCGCAGAAAAAAATCACTAAATCGCTAGTGGAACATACTTCTAATTGGGTGGGAGGCAGAGTAGTGCTGAGGCAGGAAAATTCAAAGTTCAAGGATAGCCTCGATAAATTAGTGAGACTCTATTTCCAAATAAAATAATAATAATACAAAAGTCTGGGGATGTTGTTCAGTAGAGAAGTGCTTGTCTAGCATGTGTCAGGCCTTGGGTTCCACCCTCAGTACAGTGAAGAAAAAAAAAAAAAAAGAAAATCATTGAATGATGCCATGCTGCCATAATCCAAAAACCTAGGTCTAGTGTCTTGGCCTACCACCCTGATCTGTCCTCCAGACAGTATTTAAATAGTTATACATTTATTTTAATATAAAGAAAAAATATATCTATTATAATAAACCCATGATCCTATAAATATGACTTTAATTTAAAAATAAATCTGTCCATACATCAAGAAGACTGAGTTAGAATCCCAAGGCCACTCCTATTATATAATCAAGAGCCCCACTTAACACAAGGAGTGAAAAATATGTAATTTTCCTCAGAATGGGGGGTAGTAGTTTACTTCACCTCCACTTCTTGAGGGGCTCACACCATGGGCCCAAAGACAGGAGTTCCATCAGTCCCTTGTCCCTCACAGTGAGCCCCCAATACTTACTTCTGCTATGTGGCTGGATGCTGGGGTAGAAAGAATGGCTTGTTCCTGAGGGGACTGGATGGGGCTGGAGACTTGAGAAGGACCTGAAAAGAAGGGACACAGGATTTAAAAGAGGAAACCATCCCACCAGCCCCCCACTCACACTAAGAGGGCCCCCAGGAAGTTCTGTGGAGGGCATCATACTACATCCAGTTGACTGCTGAGGCAGGGAGAGCAGAGGTTTAGCTGAACCAATGCATGCTGTGTCCCTGGGTCTGTACTCAGGCTGGTCTAGAAAAAACACATCTCAGGAGTGAGAGGACTCCTGGAATTCACTTCCCCAAGAACTAGTAACCCTTTGTGTGTACAATCTGGGTCCCAAGCTTTGAGATGGACCTTCTACCTTTTCATGATCCCAAACAACATAAGGAAAGGAACTGCTGGTTGCAGTCATTTACAGGGCAGACAGGAAGAGCAGGAGGAGGAGTGGAGCCCTGGGCCAACTAAAAGCCCTGACTCTGTGCCACCCAGCCTGCCCTGTGGCTTCTATAGGCATTCTGGAAGCTGCTGACTCCTGCTGGTAGCAGTAGACCTACCTCCTTCTTGTTGCACTGGTAAGGCAGATGGCTTTTCCTCCTCATTTTCTATTACCCTCAGCTCTAACTCTGCTTCTACTTCAGGGTGGCGTCGCAAGCGAAGCTCCATTTCAGCATCTGATGGGATGTCATCAGACCAATGCTGATCTAGTGGAGGGAGGAAGGGACACAAATTGGCACAAATCGTGAGCCAGGCCACACTCCTTTTCTATCTCTTACTCTCATGGCCCAATGGTTGGATGGACACATGTGCACAGTGGTGCAAGGTCTGGATTGTGATGGTGAGCCCTGTCTATTATTCAGCAACAGACCCTGCCTTCTGAGAATGCTTCCAAGAGACTCAGCCAAAGCACTCTCCTGAAGCAAGGTACATTGCCCTCTGTAGTGTGGGGTCTCATTGAAACCTGTGGTGCTCCACTTACTTTTCAAAATAGCACCATGACATATGAAGGCATGACAGGAAGAAAAGCTTGGGTTACACCTGCGGAAAAGCAGGCCTTGCTTTCTGGACTTATCTTTCTTGTTATTTCACCAGTCCTCAGCCCAGACCATAGACTACATCTATAATCCCTCATGATCTTAACCTCAACTTTTATTCTCATTTCTGTCCAGCCTAGTCCCTGTTCCTTTTTGCCCAATGAGACACAATTCTTAAAATTATTTACAATGTCCCTGTCTTTCAATGCCAAAGGGCATCTAATGGATTAAAGGCCCTGAATAGTCTGAAATTTGCTCAGCTCTCAACCACAACTCAATTCACACAGGTTACACAGGAGATTGGCTTCTGGGTGGGTGAAACAAAACAAGTGTAAGTCACTGATGGAACAGAGAATCACCCAGGGAGCCAAACAGTTGACTCCCTTGAGCTTTTGCTTTAAAGTAGATTTTTCTTGAACATTCTTAAGTTCTAACCACTCAGGCCATTCCCCCTATGGGAAACAGGTTGTGTCCATAGTGGAGAGGGAGGCTGGGGCCCCATACCATCATCCAGCTCAGCACCAGTGTCCCCAGGGTCCCCATCCTCTGCTGCCTCCCCTTCTATCTCTGCTGGCTCCGAGTCCACATCTTCCTCCAGGTCATTCTCATCCAATGGGGCTGTAAGGCAGAGGTATTCCAGGAAAGGAAGAAAAGACAAGACAGAAAAAGGATGTCTATGCAGGAGAAAGACGGGTTACTGGAGAAGAGAGAAATCCACTTGGATGGACGTGGGGAGTGCTCCAAAAGCAGTGTGGGTACTGAGGAGGGCCCAGGCCATTTTTCAATGTGAGTAGGGTCAAGTGGAAGGAAAAGAGCAGCTGAAGGCCTGGCCAGGTTCCCTCTTTCCCATAGACTGTTTGCTTTAACAGTCTCAAGTCCAAGATGGTCAGAGGTAAAATGTCACTGCCTAGGCCCAACAGGCACCTAAATCAAACTCCAGCAGTAACACTAGCTTCCAGCTATCAGTGCTTAAGTTTAGATACTTTCCTAACTACCTCTGAAGTCAGGGGTCATTTAATTCTCACAATGATACAATCTGAGGGATTGTTTCTTCCCTCTACCTTTGAGGGAGAGGATCCTACCCTTCCCACTGGTAGAAGCTGCAGCTTTTCTTGTGATAACTTAGAGAGAAATACTTTGTTAAAGAACAAGGGAGAAGAACTGAGGAGATATGTAAAGTTCCTTTTTTGGAGTCAAGAATAGCCCTTTGGTGCTACAAAATGAAGCAAGGCACTCAATCACTTCATTTCTCCTAAGGAACCAGCCCCTAAACACACACACCACGCATCCCAACTCTGCATACTAGGAATCTGCACCTGCACGAACAGTGGACTGTAAGAGAGAGCAGTGAGGAAAGCAACAAGTACTGTCTCAAGGATTCTGAGACAGTCCCCTGAGACTGATAGCACCCATCTGCCAGGGGTCCTCAGGGCTCCTTCTAGGGTTCCAAGCACAACCACCCTTCAGTCATTCCCCAAGGGGTTAATTTCAAGAAACAAAGTTATGCTTCGATTTGCATATAAGCCTGAGTCCAACCTGCCCGGCCCCCCTTAGCCCCTCCAGGCCCAAGGTAGGGGAAGGAGTAGAGGAACTGGCTGTGGCACAGCTGGGGTAAATTCCTTAAATAAAAAATAAATAAATAGGGTAAATCCTCCCCACTTTTTTTTTAATAGGGAAAAGAATACACAAAATTAATTACATGTCTAAGGTATGGGAGTGCTAAACTCAGGTAAATTTCTTAAAAAAGCTGAATTGAAAATGAGAGAGGATAGAACACATAATAGCCATATGCCCTAAAATGAAGTTTTCTTCTTTACAGACCAAACTAGTGACTGCAGTCTAGTGATAGGATGTCAAGAAGCAATGTGCTGAAACAGTTTGAGCAGCCCCTTTGAAACTGCTGATAATGTGGCAATTACTTGAGTTTTATTCCTTAATAATTCTTTAAATTGAGCTGGATGCAGTGGTATATGCCTGTAATCCCAGTGACTTGGGAGGGTAAGATAGGAGAAACACAAGTTCAAGGCCAGCCTCAGCAACTTAGCCAGGCTCTATGCAACTTAGTGAGGCTCTGCCTCAAAATAAAAATCTAAAAGGACTGGGGATGTAGTTCAGTGGTGAAGTGTTCCTGGATGAAGTCTGCGGTATAGGGAAAAAAAATTCCTTAAGCTGTGTACTTATTTTTTATGCATAACTTTTAAGATAGTGGTTCAAATTTAGTTTGTTGAAAGAGGTTTAGAATGGAGCAGACAGGCATTCCAGGGATGGTGGATACTGTCCAGAGTAAGTTCTAGGCTGGTGAACTGTGAATGCCAAGCCCTTCCCTCTAGACACCAGAGCAACCAGCAAGCTGGCAATGCCAAGGTACTCTCTCCTGGGATGATAACATTTTCTAGGGAAAAACTATTCAGTTGCTTCTATAGGTCTGAGCAATCACATTGCTTTTGGCCACTGATGGAAGATAGTTCACCAAACACCAGGGAATGGGATTTATGAGGCACAAACAAAAGCCTATCTAAAAGCACCAATGTCCTCTAGGCCCCTTCTCAAATTGAGCTTTATACTTGGAAAGTCTGCTCATCATTGCACTATACCATATAAAGACCAAACCTACTCCAAATAGATCAGTGGGAACAGAATCTGGGCCTATCTGGTAAGCGGGGGCGGGGGGGGGGTGTCTTTTGTGACTAACATTATTTGCTTGAACAAATATGTGAATGCCTAGCATTTAGGTGGTAGAAGAGACACTGATATACTTTTGCTGGCAAGTAGGCTGGAAGCAAGCACAAAGACCACTCCATAGAACTCCCCAGCTTGCCCCAATTCCCTGGATTGGTCTGTCCCAGTCCTGATCCCTTGGTCCTTCATGTGGTTCTCCTACTTGGAGTTTCTACTAAGAAACCTCTACTGTCAAATCAGAAGGGTAAGGTTCTATACTTCTTGCAGTACCTTGAAAAGAACAATTATCACATACATCAAAAAATAAACATGGGAGAACTATCAATGCAGCAGTAGCAGATGCTGAAGGAGACGCAGCCTGAGCAATGAAACTGGCGAATGGAATCTAGGTTAAGATGAAGTGCAGGGTGATAGAAGCGGCCACACAAGTTGATGAGTTACACACTACAAAAGCCAGGAATTGCTGTTTATTTCAGGTGGCAGCTGGGAAGTGCCCCTTCCTCCACCTTATCCCTCTGTCATATGTATGCACACTAACTAGAAATTCTCAGCAGCTCCTATGTCGAGGGCTGATGGCTCAGGGCCAGCTGAACCAGAAACCCGATGGCATTCTTTCTCTTATACACTGGGAAGATTACTCCTGACATTTATCTATTTTTCCTACTGCTGGTGAAGACAATAGGCTGGAATGGTAAGAGCCTGGTGGTTAAGATCCATGTGTGTCAGTCCTGCCCATCCTGGATGCAACTGCTAAGGCCATATTCCTCAGACAGCAGGCAATGCTGCCTCCCCTTCTAACAGTGTTGGAAAATATGTGTATGTCTTTGGTTGTTATACGACTAGGCTGGGAATGGAGACAGTACAACATTTGGAGGGCAGAGGCCAAGGATAAACATCCTGCAATGAAAAGAACAGCCTGCCCAAAATTCACGTAGACCCCCTCACTGAGAAATGTTTCCAGAAAAAAATTAGGAAAGACAACTAAGGTTTGCCAATTATCTCGTGGCATAAATAGCTGAAGAGACACCTGTAGCTTAGTATGTCCTGCTTGTACCCTCTTCCCTTAGCTGTATAATACCAGTCCTTTGCCCTCCCCTCCTCTCTGATAATTCTTGTAAATGCCCTCTGCCCCTGAGTCTTGACTGTTTCCTTCTGTGATATTTTGGTAGGTTTGTGGAATTTTATTTTGATTCCTCTGTTTTCATACTCAATTACTACCTATTTTTTTTTACATACTTAAACCTCAGTGCTAAAAAAGGTTCCTTTAGCTTTGGTTATTGTATCCAACCTCTATTAATGGAACAAGTTCTGTCTCCACTAATGTTCTCCTCCAATCTGCCCTGTAGAATGTGGGATGCACTTCTGGTCCATGCAAGGATGGGCTGCCTGAGTGAGGCATGCATGTGCCCCCGCCCGCCTCTGGCTCCACCCTCGCATGCACCAGCGACAGGACCAGAGTTCTAGTGTTAAGGCACCAGCAGAGCTGCCTAAAGAGAAAGGTTATGGTGAGTGGGAAAAGATCAAACATCACCGACTACCTCCAGAGACCGTCTCCAGCCAGGCCTGCACTGCTGCACGGCGTATGGAAGGAAGGCCAGGCACTGAATTTAAAACAGACGATAAATACAAAGTTACACAGCAGTAAGCATTCCCAGTGAGGAGAGCTGTGGTCATTCCTAAAGTCCAAAACAGAAAAGAAACTGAGCAGAGAGTGGTCTGTCTGGCATGGATGAGGGGTAATGATCCGCCATTATCCTGAGAGAAAACCCAAGGGAGGCTGCAGGATGCTCCTGGTCGATGCCGTAGGTCAGTCAGGTGCCCTGGTCAGCGGGGGCTCTCACATCAACTTCAGCATAGCTTCTGGGTATCTAAAGTTCTGCAAAAGCTGTTAACAGAGGCTGGTCTTACCTACAAGGGAAGAGTTGGGGGCTGGAAGGATAAAAAGTGCATTAAAGGCTAAGTTTCACGAGGGCAAGGAAGAATCCCTTTTGTATAACCAGAGCCTTGAAGGGTGTGTGGCCTATAATAGGCACAAAGAATATGTGAAGCTACATGAGCCAGACAGAGGTGATGACCAAGGGTCCATATTGGAAGATGGGTAGCTGAGAGGAATGATATGCAGTCAATGAATCCTTCAACAGAGTCCTTTGTTTTCTATTATTGATATTCCTTAAAAGAAGCCAGAGGCCAGGTGCAGTGGCATGCACCTGGAGCCCAGCTGCTCGGGTGATTGAGGCAGAAGGATCACTTGAGACCAGGAGTCAGAGACCAGCCTGAGCAACATAGTGAGACCCTGTCTCAAAACAAAGCAAAACAAAACAAAACAAAGTAAAACAAAACAAAAACCACTGAATAAGGTACGTTTTCATCTTATTGGGAAACACAGACCAACTCACCTAAAACCTGGAGTTGAAAATAATGCAGTGAATTTAGAAACCTCCCTGATACATATCTCTTCTTAATTTTACTTCTAAATATGCTTCCCTCTCCTCCTCCTGTCATACACAGTCACACTCAGACACACTCCATGAGGAAAGCACCAGCATGTTCTATAGAGTGGGCAAAGAAGACCCCAGCCGAGAAATATGGGGGACAGGAAGTGAATTCTCATTTTTCCCCAGGTCAAATTCGGTTTATTATTTTGCATTACTGGAGAAGGAGCCTGCAACCTCTTAATCCATAGAGAACTTTACATATCCTCAAATGAGAGTCAAGGACACTTGTCTGGGTTAACAGCAGAAAATGTAATGTTTTGTTGGGTTCTACTTTTGATCAAAATGGGAGGCTTTGGTCTTAGCAGAAAGGTCCTCTACAGCAACAGGAAGGGATGCAGGGATGAAAGGTGCTGATAGCAGCACATGGGATCCTGGGTCTTGAAGCAGTTACCTCTAGAAGTGGAAGATTCAGAGGTTGGGACCATTCTTTCTTCCTCCTCTTTCTCACGAATGTGTGTCCAGTGCACATCAGCCTGGATCGCCAAGGGATCTGCTGGATTTAGTATCTGCTGTAGCCTGTGGTTCCCAGCTAATGTGCCAGGTTTAAGGGATGGAGATGACAGGGAGGGTAGAAGGAGAAAATAAACAGAAAAGGAGGGGATAAAACATCACAGGAAAGGAAACAGAAAGAAGAGTTACAGTATTTGCCAGGAGCAGTTTGAATAGAAAGAAGTAAAAATCAAGAACATGTGCTCACACGCATGTAACTTCTAGTCATTCAGTTCGGATTAGTCATTTTGAACTTCATGTGTACTATTAATTTCAGTGAAGAGAACCACACATTCCAACTCCAAATGCAGATTCTACTGCCCTTTTCATCCTAAATGATTTTTGAGGGATCCAAATGCCAAGGTGGAGAAAAAGCAGATGACAACTGACTTCTAAAGGGCCATTCCTCCAAGAGTGATAAGAACTCAGGTTGATTACCTAGCACAGCATGAGGCCCTCTAGGTCACGCCATTTATGCCCCTTCTGTTGATTATACAGCAAAGTGCTTACCACCACTTGCCAAGCTGACCACTTCTGAGACTTCAGTCAAGTGACAACAGAAAGGTGGGATGGGACAGTGCCATTCTGCCACAAGCCAGACAACTCACATAGGACAAAAATGTACTATGTTTATATTGTAGTTTTTGTTTTCTGCAGTAAGAGCTTCTACTAGAGAGAAAAAAGCCCCTTCCATAAGAGATCTTCTCATGCTGCATGCTGGGTCTGCCAGGGACACAGATGTTGGGGAGGATGGAGTTAGGGGAGGCAGCAGCTTAGGGAAGAAGCAGAACTCTATATTGTGAAGTCCCCAAACTCCAGGAGTTTAGGGGTAGGGAGGAGACCCACACCTCTTTGCCCACCCCCCACCCCCAATCAAAACTATCAAAGCTCCTTTCCTTAAAACTCCATTTGGTATCCTACTGATCCCTCTAGACATGAGACCTGGTTTCTCAGTTAAATGAAGACTCACAGGCAGTCCTTTCAGCTTATTCTTGCTGACAGAGCCTGTGGAATCTGCATGCAGTCCCTGCCTTGTGAAATCCCTATCATTAGGGCTTGCATCATGCTACACAGTGGGGTTGGGTTAAGATAAAGGAATAGCTAGCAACTTGGAAGGAGGGGATACTACAGAAGGAAGGACGACTATTCAGGCAGCAAGAGCAGGTGCCATCGATCTGAAGGACTCTTCAGTTCTTAGCAGGAGCCAGTGTCTATCTGTGAGTATATGTCACCCCTTCCTTCAATAATCTAACTGGACAACCTGGTTTTAGTTTTGTGACAACCTCTGATTTGGATTGGAAGAACCAATAAGATCACCAATGTGGATGCTGACCTATGCTATCAATGTGGGGTATTAGCCCCTCATGGGCTCCCTTACTGGAGCTGCTGGTCTCTATAGACTGAAGGACTATTTGCAAGGCCAGTTTATCTGCCTTTATGGTACTGGAGAGGGCCGAATTACAGCAACACCTCCAAACAGCTCAGATTTAGGCCTGGGGAAGATAAGTCAAAAGAAAAGAGGCAGGACCTTTCTTTACCTTCTAAGCAACAAGGGAAGAGAGTGAGTCTTCTCCCTGAGTAATGTTCTGCTTCCTGTTACCACATGCAGCCTTGGGGATTTATCAACAGCATGAAGCCAGCACGTCTTTCTTTCTCAGAGAAATGTTTAAAGGCACCTGTGGTGGTGGTGACAGAAGAGCTGTGGCTGCATTGTAAGATTTTCTGCATTAGAGAAGAAACTGAATCTTAACTGGATAAGGAGAAATTGCAGAAAAACCCACAGGGATAGAAATGGGGCCATATTCCATTTCTGGAATATGCTATTCTCTACTTTGTCTGGGAAGGCTGGGCCCAGAGACAGGTGACCAGCTAGATATGTGCAGCATAGCTCTAAAATGCACAGATCTTTTCATGTGGGACCTGCTCTTGGAGGCAAATTTTGGATGGCTGCTAGGGAGCCAGGGTAGAAGGTGGGCAGGGGAGCGAAGTGGGTACCTTTACAAGTACCCGTTTCTTCTTCCTTTGAGAGATGCTGGAGCCACTGGCCTTGCAGGAGTTCTCTGTCCCAGGGGCAATACTCCCCTTCTACAGCAGGGGGAGCCAGACACCCACAAGCAGCATCAAGAATCCCGCAGGGGGACAAATGGAGAGAAAAGGGAACCGAAAGGAGGAAAAAGAATAGAAAGCAGAGTTATCTTCAGTGACAAGATAGTAGCATCCTGTCACTGACTACACAGGTGTGGAAGTCCACTGCTCAGAAGACATACTCCAGGCTGGGAACACAAGGTTCCCACCTGGAAATGTCTAGAGTTTGACTGAATATTTTAGTATGTGTTTATCTAGCTAAGGCCCCAATTCCCTATAAGTTTGGTATTAACATTTAAGTCCAAGCCCAGAACTTAGTCTTCATAAGGGGAAAGTGGGCTAAACTCTCCTGAAAATGGAAAAAGCTCTGACTCTAAGCTGTGTTGAAGCTAAAAGTCATTAAGCATAATAATCACACAGAGATAATGAAGCAAACAAAATACCTTCCCCCTGCACCAACTACCTCCTCTAATTAGGGGAACATGGAGGCAACTCTGGACCAGTGTGGCTCTGCAGACATGGCAGAATGAGAGAACTCAGGCTCCAGCCAGGGCCTAGCTCCTTCTCGCACAGACCTACTCAAGGCTCATAAAAAAACTGGGCGGGGAGTATAGGCTGTAAAGCATACTGCCTTGTAAGTCCTGGTCCAGCCTTGGTCTCCACTTTCAGAGGGGCGAGTGCAGGAGGACAGGGAGAGAAACTCCACAGGGAAGTTTCTGAGGAAGTGCCCTGACCCTGACCACTCAAGTCCAGGGTCTCATGATTAGGGTGCTATCCTGTCCTCACCACCTCTTTATAGTTGTCTTAAACTGCACAGGTGTCAGGTCTGGCTTGTGAACCACAGCCCTGTCTGTGAAGGGCTTAAATATTACAGTGTCAGAGGAAATGGCCCCTGGGATGGGCCTGGGTAGTGAGCACATCGAATTTCAGAAGAAGCAGAGATAAATCCCAGCAGAGCAATCATGTACCAACTCCACTGTGCCCACATTGTTCAGAATTTAATCTGTTCCTCTGACTCCTGGGGAGAAACTGGGGCTTAGAAATTAGAAGGCCCATGTCCTCCCATCCGTTGGTTCTGAGTCCCCAGGACAGAAAGTAAAGACCTCCGCAGGGGAGTCAGGTCTCTACCTGTGCTGCTTCCTTCCTCACCTCCTACAGGACCTCTGTACAGCTAGGGCTGGGAAAGAATGACCCTCTCTTTCTATTCAGCAAGTTCATCATCATCACTCAAGGTTACATAGAGCAAGAGAGAGGGACAAAATTGAAAAAACCCTTGAGTTTAAGAGAATTATTTCAGAACCAACCAGGATGACTGAATTCTGCAATTAAGATGCTCTTTTTCAGGATTTCTGGCCCCACAATGTTATTCTGTTCTTTTTGTTTTGTTTTTTTCTGGTGCTGGGGCTTGAACCCAGGGCCTTGTGCATGCAAGGCAAGTACTCTACCAACTGAGTTATGTCCCTAGCCCCCCACAATGTTATTCTGAGTATCACTGACAGCACCCTGTCTGGTGGGCATCTAGCTCAAAGCAGTCTTCATTACTCAAGATCAGAAATCAAGGATTCCTCTAGGAAGTTAAATTTCCTTGTTTTATTACAATCAATGTCTATAACTGAAACTAAAGGGCTTGGGGGGCGGAAATGAGAAGAAGACAGGAATGAGTAGGTTAATTAAGTCAAAATCCTTAGATTGGCCCATATTTTCTACTTCCAATTAAAAATTTGAATTTGCACCAGGGACATTATTCCCACAGTGGCCTGTCTGCCTGATTTGGTATCCTTCCTCTGTCCCTGTACCTAAGGTCAGGGAGCAACAGGAAGGATTATTTTGAAGCTCTGTGGGAGGTGTCCATGTGACTCCAGCCAATTACACCTGTCACTTTCATACATGGGACAGATTATTTCAGAGGGACAGGGTCAGGGTTAGGAGAAGAGACTTTTTTCTGACCTTCACTGGACTCCTCCTCCTCTTCGTCATATTCTTCCTCCTCTTCTTCTTCATATTCCTCTTCCTCCTCCTCTTCTCCCTCCCCAGGCTCAAAGCTCTTGGAGGCCTCTAACTCTTCCTCACTCCTCCCTTTCAGAAGAGCGTGGATCCTTACAGCCTCTTTCCAAGGAACACCACCCAGGTCAGAAGTGGGCAGCTGCTCCTCCTCCTCTTCCTCCTCCTCTTCTTCCTCCATTTCCGACTCGGAACTGCTATGAAGATAACCACACAAACCAAGTGAGGGAATGCCAGGAAATTGAGAAGGGAAGATTCAGTGCCACAGTTGGAGGTAATATGTCCCAGCAAAGCACCTGTCAAGCGGGAGGGAACATAAGAATGGAAAGAGGGTAACAAATAGGGCAGGATGAATTACATTTATAAGTGAACATTTACATGGACCCACACAAGCAAAAAGCCCAGCCTGGTGGGGCACAACAGGCTAGTAAACACCATGACCACTGGGTAAGTGTTCACAGAGGACCTGGAGAAACACAGCAGGGGACAGTGGACTTGTTTTGCTATAAACACATAACTCTTGGAATTGAGAGAGAAGAGAAAGTCCTCTTTCACCTTGACCCACCATTTGGTTTGAAGAACTTGGTTCTAACTTGATTCAGGTCAGTCAGGAGCCTTTTGTGAGAACCATAGGTGTGAGGGAGAAAGAGAAGGTGCCCTAAGAGGCTGAAATAAACACAGTGCCTTGCAATCAGTGTGGGGTGTGTGTATGTGCTGGGGCAGGGGCTGGGGGAGGAAGCAGCAGATCCAATTTCATGGTGTTCCTTGAGACCTCACAATGTGCCAATCCCGGAGCTGCATATTATGGGGAACACAAAGGTAAAAAGGCAGTAAATGCCTTGCCCACTGCACAGCTAAAGCAAAAAAACCATCAGGAGAGGACCCAACCCCCTGCAGTCATCATCATGCCTGACAACCTGCTACATTCTCCACATCTGTATCCTTCACAGAACAAGGCCAGCTCAGCTTGCAACAGAAGCAGTGCTATGTGCAAAACTTATGTGAACCTGACCACTGCCCTTTAGGATGATCCCTCTTTGCCCTGGGGAAGGAAGCAGTATAACAGGCAGGACACGAATAAAATTCCACCCCCCACAGTGGTATGGGCTCAAATGGAGAAGTTTCCAGGCCTGTTTCACAATCTGATAGTTCCTAAAGAATCTTTTTCAGTAGAGACTTTGCCTGTGGTGAGAAGTGTATACTTAATTGGATCGAAGAAAATGTGGCTTTCATAATAAAGCACTGGACCAAACTCTGGATGATAGAGCCCCAAGCTCCAGAGGAAATCAGGCATGAAGTGGGTTTAGTTTCAGCTTCCTATTAAGGTGCAGTCCTCTCTCTATCCAGGGAAGACTTTCTCATAGCTCATTTGTGTTTGAGAGTGAGGAAGCCAGTGAACAGACCCAGATGAAGACAATAACGTTCAACATGGATGCTTCTGGTACTATGTGGGGAAGAATCTTATCCAAAGAGAGGTCTAGCCTTGTCCTTGTCCTTGTGAAGTAAATTCTGACCCCCTGGACTATTCTGATTGAGGTCTTTGGTAGACAGTCTAATATTGGGATCTAGTTGAGGGCTGGTCACATCCCAAAGTCAGCTGGGGGACAGTCATATAAGAGAGACCAAAGATGTGATTTCAGGTGGGGGTACTGGGTTACTTGGTATATGTTGACTTAGAGACTGAGATACATGTGAACTATCAATCAGTCATTGCCTATGTAATGGAGTCCAATAAAAATTCCTAACAGCCAGGCTTGGGTGGTGAATTCTTCGATGGGTACTGACATACATCAATACCAAGAAGCAACGCTCTCCTGATTCTATGAGGTAGAACAACAAAAGCCCCGAATTTCATAGTTTTCTGCAGTCTACCATATGTATATCTTCCCCTGGCTAGTTTCTAAAACTGCATCTTTTCCTTGTAATAAACCACAACTGTGAGTATAATTGCTTTCAGGGAGTTCTGTAAATCCTTCTGGCAAATTATTGAACCTGAGGGTCATCACATCACATCAGAATTTGTGACTGGTGTCAGAAGTGAGGGTGGTCTTGGGCCTCATTCCCTCTTATTTGCTTCCTAACTCCTCACAATGCCACATTGGCTTTGCTACTGTGACCTTCAGTTTATTACTTATGCTCTCTGAGCCATGATTTTCTAATTTGTCAGGATGTCTTGTAATACCTCCCCTCAGGCACGTTCTGATGGATCATTGACTTTCATCATGCTTGCATTATACTTTGGGGCTCTAGCTATTCATCTATTTGTTTATTTAGCTATACAATTTTTCAATCATTCATTCATTCAATAAACATTTTTGAGCACTCACTAAAGCTAAGCCAGTGGATATAGAAATAAAAAGCTGTGTCCTTCCAGTGAGTCTCACTTTACTCATTCGTTCATCCAACTAAAATTTATTGTCTTTTACTTCTAATGTACTTGCTAAACGTGCAGAAACATAAAAGTGATCCCCAAAAGCTCCTTATTCTCAAAGACAGATAAGATGCAAACACATCATGATAAAGTAAGGTAGAATGAGAGTGTGGTGTGACTGAGGGCTGGAAGGTAGCAGGTTAAAGTACACAAAAACTTGGCCCATGCCTGTAATCACTGGTACCTGGGAAGCTAGGACAGAAGGGTAGCAAGTCCACAGCAAGCCTTGGTAAATTAGTAAAATCCTGTCTCAAATAGGTTACTGAGGTGTGACCTCAGGGAGTCTGTCCCTGTTCCCTTCCTCTTCTTCTCTAGACTACTTCCTGGCTGCCATTCTCTTCCATCATGATGTTTTTGCCTTGGAGCTAGTCAACCATAGTCCAAATCCTCTGAAACCATCCTCTGAAGCCAAAATAAAAATTTCCTCTTCTGAGTTGTTCTTGTCAGTAGTTCTTGTCTCACTGTTGGTCTTAGCAACAAAAAGTTGACTAAATATATTGTTTGCCCCACACCTCTGTTTTTGTTAGTTTATTTTCTTATTAATATATCATTACACATCTTTCAAAGATAAAATAAGGATAAGGAGGCTTCTATGCTCATCTTAAATCTTTGGTGGGCAGAGGGAAGGCCATGCTGTCCCTTCCTCAAGGCTGAGTGCAACCAGGGACTTGTTTAAGGCTGCCTCAGTAGTTAGTGGACTGGAAGGAACGATATTACAGCTTCCTGGGAGAGGGGGCCTTAGTACAGCCTTGTCCTCGTCCCAAGCAGTGTCATGAGGATGCACTGTGCACAATGCAGGCATTGAATAAATCCCTTGTGATGATGACAATGAGGCCCCACTTATAGCTATTAGTGCCACTCTGGCTGGTTTTACGACAGCTCAATGATCGTGGGAGTGCAGTAAGTGAGGCATGGAGTATGAAAGAAAGCAAAAAATTCAATCCTTGCCTTTCTTCATAAGTTACATGCTTAGCCCACTTCCAAGAGGCAAAATGCTACTTATCCCTGGACATCCCAGGGAGGCTAACCAGACTCCCTCTCCATGTAAAGGACAGAGAAAATCTGAAAGGTGCTGTCAACTGCTCCCTTCCATGCCATCATTTTCATAGACTACTACTCAAGGTAGTCTCTGGGGCTGGTCAGGCCCCTAACCTCATGAAAGATTTGCAGTGTAACTACAGCATCTCAAGGCTCATTTTACATTTTCTGGCTGACCCCAACTCCTGAATCTCTCTGGACCTGGGTTGTTGAAACTGGAGGAAAGGAAGGAGAAATAGATCCCTTGAACTATAGCCTGGAAAATTTTGCAGTGGAAAGGATTCTTATAGGGGGGAAGCAATACATACAACTAACATCTCCCTTCTTCTGGGAAAAAAAGGATTTAAAAAAAAAAAAAAAAAGCTATTCTAAGGATACAGCTTCCTGGGAGAAATGTGGCTTGGAAAATCTAGTTATCAAGATAAGCTTTCCCGGGCTGGGATGAAGCTCAGTGGCAAAGTGTCTGCCTTGCATTCGCGCAAAGCCCTGGGTTTGACCCCTAGTTCAAAAAAAAAAAAGGATAACCTTTCCTTCACAGCAGGTATCCATTTTTTTGTCCTGTAACAATATGGTGTCCTGTGGGTTGCTTAGGGTCTGTCTCTCCACCAGAACCGCACTCTCTCTCAGAGCAGGGACAGGGCTGCTTTGTTTGCTGGAGTACTTATCACAGGGCTTAGCAGAGTCAAGATGGGTGGAATGCCCAGGGACCACAAGCAGGAAGGTCAAGGCAGGCTTTCCCTAATTTCAGAACTATCACAGATATCTTGGGATCCCCCTTGGCAAAGCCTGGTCAAAAGGAGCTGACCCTTTCAGTTAAAAGAATATCCAGAAAAAATTCTCCCTGAGATAATATATATCCAATTACGCATCTTGAAGTACCTTGCCTAAGTTTTCCCTCGGGTAGTTTCTCTTTGAGAAATTGAGGGGACTGGCTGGAGGAAACAAAACTGATGAACACATGGACTAGATTGTAAAAGACAAGGTCTGCTCAACTTAACTGAGCTAAGCAAAGGTTTTGCTGTGGTCAGGAAGGAAAGATCCAAGGACAACGATAATGGTGAAGGACAGTAATACTGAAGGTCGACTGAGCCCCGAGGATAGCCATGCAGCATGTCGCATTTCTTTGCTAAATTTTTTATTTTGTTTTTTTTTTTTTTGCTACACACACTAGGCAAGTGCTCTAGTGCTGAGCCACAACCCCAATCCCAAGATGTTTTTTTTTTTTTTTTAATCATTGTAAATTTTCTTTCTTTTTTTTTAAAAGGCACTTCCTTTGTATTTGCTCACTTAGCTATTCAGCTACTCTAGGGCACAGCTACTATTAGAAAGGTTGAATGTCCCCTAACTCAAAAATTCAAAAGCTAAAACTCGAGCACTTTTCATGATGTTCAAAAAGTTTTGGCTTTTAGAGTTTTAGATTTCAGAGTTTTAGATTAGAGATGCACAACTGGTAAAGTCTATGCCAATACTCCAAAATAGAAAAACCTGGAAATCTGAAATCCAATGTTTCAGATGAGGGATACACATCTTGTATTTTTTCCCAGTTTTTCTTTTTGGTACTAAGGATTGAACCCAGGGGTGCTCTACCACTGAGCTACATTGCCATTCTTTTTTATTTTCTATTTTGAGACAGAGTCTTGCTAAGCTGCCCAGGCTGGCCTTGAACTTAATAAGATCCTTCCTCAGCCTCCCAAGTCACTGGAATGACAGGCATGCACCATCACATATGGTTATATTTTCCATATATATATTTTATATATATACGTTGTTGATAGACTTTATTTACTTATATGTGAATTCTGCATGGGGCATCACCTGAGAATCAAACCCAGTGCCTCACACATGCCAGGCAAGTAGGCTACTGCAGAACCCCAGCCCTAGCCCATTTTCCCCATTTTTAAAAATGAGAAACTGCAGCCTAAGGAGATTGGTGTGAAGAGGATTCAGGATTCCCAGCAGCCTCCACACCACACACCACGTTGTGCACTCTTTGGTGGTTCTTCAAGAACACAAGAATGCTTTGGTATTAGCAGCTGTCAGGGTGGCAACCCCAGGAAATGGATCATGATCCTGTTCTCTGGTGGCCTGCATTTTCCTTGAAAAGGCAAGGATGGGAACTAAGGCAGGCTCCATTGTGCACGAGGCAGAATTCTGCATGGGGCATCACCTGAAGCTACAGGGTGGTTTTCAGAGAGAAACAGGTATCACAATTTTTACTCTTTAAGTTGAGCTTCTCCTAATGAGAGACTGCAATACACTCTCTGGCTCAATCACACTCCTAGCTCCCACTCACCCTGACAACTGTGTGAACACAGTAAAGCATCAGAAGCAGATGTCTAGAGAAGATGTACATTGCCCAGTGATCTTCACATGGTGGAAATCTAATGTGTGCTAGACCTAGCATCCTGCTCAGCGGTAGCTCATGTTACTATCTGTGCTAGAAAAGAATATGTATGTGTGTGTGTGTATATATATATATATATATATATATATATATATATATATATATATATACACACATATACATACATACACACACACACACACATACAGAGAGAGAGAGAGAGAGAGAGAGAGAGAGAGAGAGAGGGGGGGGGGGCAAGAATTCCCATGTATTCATGGTCAACCTGTCAACCTTGAGGGAGTACCTTTTTTCTTTGTGGTCTTATTCTAATGGAGGGTTGGCCCATTTGGACTGGACTGCTGATGACTTTGGAGAAGTCTTCTGTGACCTTGGCTGTCCCATCCCAGAGCATATCTGTCTGCTCTAGTACTAACTGATTACTACTTTAGAACCACAGATCTGAACACACTAAAGTTGCCAGCAGATGGGTACTGCATCAACTGTCTTCCTTGTCTGTGGCAAATTCTTTGGGTCAGGGTAATGAACATTATAGAGCTGGATCTCCTTCCTCTTTTGTCACCTGGTCTTGCTATATAGAAAAATACATATGCCATTTCTAGACTGTTCTCCAGAAGATAGGCTCCCACCTTGCCTGCAAGGAAGGGTCAGGTAGCTACTTAGACCTGGGTTCAGAGTCTGTGATAAGATTTAGGACGTTTACCACTTGTATGAACTAAACCATAAGTCTGATTTTAAGACTCACCTTAAAAAAAAAAAAAAAAGTCTCACCTAGGATGCCTGTTAAAACCAGACATTCAACCTACACTACACCAACCTACACTAGAATGAGAGGGCCTTTACATTACTTTTTTATCAAATGCCCCAGATGTTTATCATAATGGCAATTTGGAAATCTCAGAGCAGCAATTCACAGGGTGGTTACCTGATGACAGCACCCCTTGGTAACTATTTTAAAATGAAAATTCTTTGATTTTACCCTAGATCCATGGAATCAGCACTCAGTCCAGCAACCTGTGCTTTAGCAAGCGCCCTGGGTGGTTATGATGTATGGAAAGTCAACAATGCCCTAGGGCAGGGTGAGTGAGCCAAACCCAATTTCTGGCATTTAATTCCTCTTTTTAAGAAAACCAGTTCAAGAGTCCCTGGCCCTGCCCCAACTAGAGAGGGACACCTGCATTGTGAATGGACCTACAAGGTAAAAAATAGACAGTAAAGTAAATGCTGACATTGGATGTAGCAGCCAATGGGTGCCAGGCATTCTGTTGGCTTTATTTGATTTAATCTTCAAAATAAACCTATGAGGCAATGTCCTTTGCTGATGAGAAAAAATGAGGCACAGAAAGGCTAAATAACTTGCCCACAACCAGTAATTGGTAGAGCCGGGCTTCAAGTCTAGATCTGTTTATCTCTGATGTTTTCAACCATGTTCTGAAATATCAAACCATGCTGTCTCCCACAGCAGATGCCTGAGTTGAGTTCTCTGAACCTGTGAAAAGTATGTTCCTGGGTTGACTGGATAATACCTTAAAACTAAGTCATTTCTCATCATCGAATCCAACATGTCATCAAGAAGGGCTAAGAGCTGAAAGCTCACCTCACTCTGTGTTTGGTATTGTAGAGAAGATGGAAACAACACATGGCCCATTTCCTGCATATTACTGCTTTTCCCTAGAGAAGACAAAATCTATAGCTACTTTCTCTGGGCCTCTCACTGAGACAACTTTCTTCATTATGTGTGGCATCTGAAGCTGATTTATTACTATTTTAATTTTTTTCCTTTTTCTAAAAGGCCTTGCAGATGCTAGGAAAGTACTCTACTGCTGAATCACTTCTCCACTTCCCCAGCCTTTGCTTTTTTTTTTTTTTTCAATTTGAGTTTAAACTAATGGGGGCATTTGTTGCACTGTAGAGATGCTGGCTGATTTTATGTCTGACCCAAGGTCTGCTTAAGGGTTCATCAATGTACTTGGATGTATGGGATCTCCCTTTCTCACTGTGATGTTGGCAACACAGGCATTGTGTGGATCTCCCTTCTGTGAGCATTGGAGGGTAGGGTATGTCTCTGGATAAGAGGCAGAGCTATGTGACAATGATGTGCAATTAGTGACAGCTTCAGAACTGCGGGTACCAAGAGAAAGGCTGCCCCTGAAATGCACAAAAAGGCTGTTTGCAGAGTCAGCCCAAGTAGTGGTTCACCCAGTTTGTCTGTAGTATGCCTGGGCGGGGGGGTGAGATATAGCTGAACACAGCTCTGCCCAATGAACACTTTCTGAGAAATATTCGGAGGTCTTAAAAAACAAAAAACAAAAAACCGCACTGCTTTCTTTAACCCCACACATCCCTTCATCACAGCTAGATAAAAAATGCCCAGTATCTGATTCGAATATTTTGAAAGGTCAACCAGAAGCCTCCACCCATCCGGGGCTGCAGCTAGGGCTCTGATCCAGAAGCCCCACAGGATAAGTCTGGCCTATAATTTTGCCCCTTATTTTTTATCTTCGTTATCTTTCAGTACCCATCCTTCTCCAGTGACACCTGAAAGAGGCAACAGATGCAGGGACTTCTTTGGGGGTTGGAGTGTGTGTCGCACCCAAAGGGATCAAACAGAATTAAACACAGGGATGGGCTAAGCATAAGACGCTTGCATGTGGTCTCTGGCATGCAAGGTTTCTGCCCTTCTCTTTACCCACAGAAGACAAAAGAACACTAGAGAAGTGAGGTGGCTTCCTTAAGGCTATGCAGTGAATTCAGGACTAATTCAACCCTAGTGCTACTTCCATGAAACTTCCTACCTTTAAACAACCATTTGAGGACAACAAAATATGACTTATCTCTTGTCTGTTACCTTTTCAATGATTAACAAAGTGCTAAAGACATGGAATATGAAGTAAATCTTACGAATGTGATCCTTATGGGCCCTGCCCTACCTAGTTATAGACACCTATACCGTGCAAAGGCCTATAAGGTACTATATTAATAATAATAGTAACTGCTGATGTTGATTTAGAAATAAGAACCTAAATGGAACACAGGGAAGCAGGGAAAACAGGAAGAGTCCTGGGCCTGAACCTAGAAAACCTAATTTGGGATCTCAGCTTTAGTCTTACCTATAAGGTGACAAAACATGCTTTTGTCTATCTCATAGGTCCCATGAGGGTGATCAAATGCACATGATCAGCATCATGCAAAATAACCCACAAGCACTTACATGTGCCAAGTATTGTTTTAAACACTTTATACCAATCTTCTCCTTTAATCCTTCTACCAATTCTGTGAAGAAGGCACTAATATTATCTTCATTTTACAGATGAAGAAACTGAAGCATATAGGGGCTATTGCCTAGGTTTCCACAGCTGGAAAGAAGAAGATTCAAGATTCCAACCCAGAGAGTCTGATTTAGACCTATGCTGCCCTCCCCAGCAAAGTGGAATATTCCTTTGGAGGTTGTGGTGAGACCACTGTTCTGGGGTAGCTGGGCAAGCCACAGGCGCAGGCTGACCTGCTGGCCACGTCCTCTTCGGTGCCCTTGTCTAGTATGCTGCTCAGGTTGTGCTCGGCTTGCGTTTCCTCAGGTACCTCCTCCAGCTCCTCTGCCCGTTTCACAGACCGGTGGTAGTTCTCCAGTTCGATTCTCTCAGGAGTGCCCCTCAGCCTCTTGGCAATGCTAGGCTCCTCCAGGCCATTTACACTGGAACCTGCAAGGCAAGCAAAGAGGCAAAGTCTTGATGACACAATACGGGTACTGAACTTAACATCTAAGTATCCAAGGCAGCCACCACGCATTTCCATGAAAGGATGGACAGCCCTCATATGACGTCAGAACATAGGGTGGGTTGAAAGCCAAGGCTGGTAAGGATGCTGACATAAAAGTGGAAGAACTGCCCTAAATGGAAGAAGCAGACTGTATATCCACATCTGCTCTGTATCACCTCAAACCTCTGGCCAGGTTGAAAAAAGAGACCAGGTAACTGGTGACAGTGACTGGGTGGGCTAAAGGAGATGTGGGCTAGACCTTTGGGTAGCTGTTCTCACTGCCAGGAGCTACATGGCTCTAAAGCAGCTTTCCTTCTAACAGCCTCAGGCCCCCACAGGGATGATCTGGGATCCAGTCAAGGTTCATGCACTGTTTAGCTGACTTCAAGGTACCTGGGCTAGCTGTTTCACAGACCTTCTCATGCTGTGAATTTGTCTGTCTCCCATGGCCTTTCATGGTAAACAATGTAGAGAGTAAGAATACCACATGGATGATGTTGTGCCCCTCTGCTGTGGTTATTCGGCCTTACCATATGGGTAAAGTGGTATTCATCATCTCTCCAACACAAAGGCACAGTTTCCTCTCTAAATATCACTCATGTATGGGGTGATATTCAGAAACTATAGGAGTACCTGCCCTAGCATTCTTCCATCTAGTGATCTGAAAGTCTGTTGATCTTTTCCTGAGTCAGTGTACTGGGGTCAAAAAAAAAGTCATTTTCATAATTCTGTCATTCCTACTGCATTGTCAGTCTTTTTTTTTTTTTTTAAGATGGACACAATAGCTTTACTTTATTTATGTGGTGCTGAGGATCGAACCCAGTGCCTCACATGTGCGAGACAAGTGCTCTACTGCTGAGCTACAACCCCAGCTCCTCCACTGTCATTCTTTAGTATATGTTTGAGTACCACTATGGACTCATGGATTTTTTTGAACTAAAATATTGAATTGACTTCTATGTCTCTTTGGTCTCCCTTAATCTAGTACATGTTCCCTTACTGCAATCATTATTCCTTTGGGGGGGGGGGCAGGTATTGAACCCAGGGATGCTTAACTACTGAGCCACCCCAGCCTTTTTTTAAATTTTGAGACAGGGTTTTGCTAAGTTGCTTAGGGCCTTACTCAGTTGATGGGGCTGACTTTGAACTTTCAATCCTCCTGCCTCAGCCTTCTGAGCTGCTGGATTATAGATGTGTACCACTGTACCTGGCCTAAGCCCTTTTTATTTTTTATTTTGAAACAGTGCCTTGCTAAGTTGCTTAGGGCTTTGCTAAATTGCTGAGGCTGGCTTTGAACTTGTGATCTTCCTACCTTAGCCTCCTGAGCTGCTGTGATTACAGACGTGCACCATTATGCCTGGCTTATTACTCCTTTTTCATATTCCTTATTGTCCCAGTTTTGGTCAGAGAAAGCTCACCATTTATTCTGAGGTGTGTTCATTGCAAAGTGATATAGCACACAGGTACATATGTAGGTACAAATTCAGGTTAGACCTCTGTTTCCATCAGCAACTGACAGATCTTGAAAAATTATTTAACTATTCAGAGCTAATGTCCTGTTTTACAAATGAGGGGAATGCCCACCTTCCAGGGTTATTATGAATAGTGAATGAACTTACAACCATATATACATGTTTGGGATGTATATTTGTGATTCTGTGCCACAGGCATATCAGTTACCTTCCTCTACTATTTAAGCCTAGTACACAGGCAATATTCAGCAAATCTGAGGTAAGCAATACATCTGATGTCTGGTAACATTTTTACCACCAATTTGTGTGCATTTTTACACAGATATGTGGAATCCATCTATTCTGGACTATAGAGAGTCACATGACAAAGTAAAGATGGGAGGAGGTATTACCAGATATGGCATAGTAATATGCACTTGCATTTAGGATTTACTAGACCTTTAAGGAGGGATAGACATGATGTGGAGGAGAAGATGCAGGAATATAGGGGTGAGTGGGTCCTGAATAGCCTTGTGGTCTGGCCATGGCAGGTCCCTAATTTCTGTGACATTCTAAGTACTAAGGGATAATGCTGCAAGGCTGGGGATATAGCTCAGCTGTTAGAATGCTTGCCTCGCAAGCACAAAGCCCTGAGTTCAATCCCCAGCACCACAAAAAAAGAAATAATGCTGAGTTTTGGCATGTAGTGTCCAACCAACTCTGTTTTGAGTGACAGGTGATATGTCATATGAAGTCTGACTAAAGGAAAATAGTGGGAATATTGGTTTAGTAATTTTTGTATTATGACAGGTTGTACAAAAAATGTTCTGGAGGACTGACACTTGTTTTGTGTACAGTGTTTTGGACTCCTTTTGCAAATGCATTAGAAAGCATATTTTCACCAATCTGGAGAGGCACAGGATAAAGTCTTAGCACATCTTTCACCAAACAGCTTCTTTCAAGTTTACTAGAAATCTTCACTGAAAAGCAAAATTTAGGTAACTGTGTCTCAGTGAGGTCTGAACACAATCCCTGGGTTCACCTGTGTCCTGTTCACATGCCTACTTGTCCTAGTTCTCATGTCTTTGAGAATATTATTTTAAAATCTCTCATCTGTTTTTCAACACTGAGCTCAGGTCCCCAAAACATAAAACTATAATGCTGAACAAGGGCATCTAGAAGATTAGGAAGTATGTGGGCTGCAGGTAATGGCAAAATAGAGGCAGAAGGCAAGCAAATGGATGTGCCTCAACATGCTCTAAACCTGCTTGCCCAGGCCTTGGGAGGGACCAGACTCTAACTGCATAGGTTCATCATTCCCACATCAGTCTTTTTTTTTTTCATCAAAAGCCACAGTCTCTACATAATAAAGATAAGAAAGCTGAGAATTCCCTGACTGTACTACCATTTATTCTCTCCTTCCAATCATATTTAAAAAAAATATTTTTTCTAGTTGTTGATGGGCCTTTATTTTTATTTATTTATATGCAATGCTGAGAATTGAACCCAATACCTCACACATGCAAGGCAAGCACTCTCCCACTGAGCTACAACCCTAGCCCCTCAATCATATATTTTTTGCAACTGCTCTTAAATAGAAAAGGAAATAAATGTGAAATAAGCACCCAAGTTTAAGCTTTCCCAGAACTCCACAAATAAGGAATAAAATCAAGTTTTGTATTTTTTTCCAGTGGTGCTGGGGATTGAACCCAGGGTCTTGTGTATGCTGGGCAAGCACTCTACCAACTGAGCTATATCTCCAGTCTTCAGTATTTTTTTTTTTTAATGGAAAAAGAAAACCAGAATGAGAACCATCACTTCAGGAAAAACAAACAAGTAACACTTATCAAGAAAGATATTCAAGAAGGGAAGTCTATTTTCAGTGGGTAATGCATACTATTTGCCAGAAATTCTACTAGGACCTTGGGAAACACAGCAGATGAAAACACTGTTCCTAACGAGCCATAGGTTATTCCTGGGAGAGTCCTGTAGGCAGCATTTCAGCATAAAGTATCAAGTGTTATGACTGATGCATGTATGTGGTATACTATGGGAGTACACAGAAGGGCAATTTAGCACTTCCTCCCATCCTGGGTTTTGAAGGAAGGTGTTCTAGAGGAATATGTCATTAGCCAGATTTTAAAAAAATCTGTGAAAAGTAGGCATTATGATTTTGCAAAGTTGGTAAATGAAATTCAGAGACAGGTCACACAGCTCATGAGTAAAGGAACCCAGAGTCAAATCTGAGGAGGAAAGCAATAATTTGGAGACTACCATGGTCTCCCTTCACTATGACACAGAAAGAAAAAGAAGGTACGTTTCCATAAAGAGTCCTAGTCTGTGTCCCCCTTTGGGAGGCTCCACTGTCATCTGCCCCTCCCCATGATTTTTGATAAGATGAAAGCAGAACTTCATGAAGTGTCTTGGCACAGAGAATCTAGCACCTGGAACTACAGACATTCTGCCCTTCTCCTGGTGTTATTTCTTTGGAGTGTCTACAAGCTCTGCAGACAAATGGATCATCAAGCATCAGAACTTGGCAGTCCAAACCCAGAGTCTGAGGCTCAGAAGGGAAATGTTGATCTAATTCTGGGCTTGGCTACAACCAACAAAAAAGAAACCAGAAGCACTCAGAACTATTCAGATTATTCACACATCAGGGCCCTAGTGAAAGGATGTTTTGGGCCATAGAAACTTTAAGAAGTGATTCACTGGAGTTTTTGTAAAAATTAAGATGGGAAGTAGAGCTACTTCTGCTGTGCCTGTCCTACCAGGCACATCCCTGGTCACATCCATGCAGAGCTCAAGCTCACCCCAGGTTTTCAGCAACAAGGGAAAGCTTTGGCAGGGTGTCCCCTGAGGGCTGGGTTGTTTTTTCCAAGGGGAAGGTGGAACTTAGAGGATACTTGGCAAGCACTCAAAACTCACCAACTGCCAAATATGCTTAATATTCCCAGCCATAACCTCAAAGCACCATGGGAGATGTAAAAAAAAAAAAAATAAATCAATGAGATCAGCATTCTTGATTCTCTGTCCTGGGCCAGAGGTTGCCACATTAGCCACGTGGTGAGGACAGACTGAGAGAGCAAAAGACATGCTAGTGGGGGATGCCTGAGAGGTGGCTGTAACAGTGTGACAAACACAACACTCCTCACAGGTCCCCCTCTGTCATCAATTAATGGAAGGGCCTAGGAGAAATGACTGCAAGAGAATAGGTTAAAAAAAAAATCACTGGTATTTGGGGCACAGTGGTACATACCTGTAGACCCAGCTACTCAAGAGGCTGAGGCAGAAGAATAACTTGAGCCCAAGAGTTTAGAAGCAGTCTAAGCAACCCAGAAAGACCCTATCTCTGAAAAAATACATGACAGAAGCTGGTGCAGAAAGTCAAAGCATAACCAGCCAGGTCAGATGAGGGCTGGCCAAGACCCACACAGCCGGTCCACTTCACGTGCCTCTCAGTGCAACAGCAACTTCTTAGGGACTTTCCA